GAAAAGGGGGGGCCTGCACAGGAAGTTTGGGGACCAATGCGTTAGCCTTACCTCTTGTTCCTTGTTACCTTTTGTTCACCCCAATACAACCACCCCCCCCCCCCGTACTCCCTTCTGTCTGCATGTGACAGCATTAATATCGCGCTTGGTGATTATGTGAAAATGTTATTTCCTTATGAATACTAAATGTTAAATTAACACTGATGGTTGTGAATCATTAATGGCAGAACTGATCATTCAGGCAATGTAAAGAATGTTAATTGCTTAACTATTTTTCTAATGTATTTACTGTAATAATTGCAGAATAGATTTCATTTAAAACACTGTCAGGTTAACTTAAAACTAAAAAGTACTAAGTTACACCAAATGTTCAATTATGAAACAAATTCTAAATTGGTAAATAACAATTTAATGACTTAGAAACCGCAATGGAAAAGGAAGGTATCTAATTAGTAATAGTTATCCGCAAGGCAAGTAAATAACCCGGCAAAGACGGCACCTATAGTGTTAAACTTTTGTACATCAAAAGTTTTGAACACTGGGAGAGCCCAGGGTAACACTAGCCTAATTATTTTTGCATAAATTATTGTAATTATCCTTACTAAACGTTTACTTGCTTTGCAGTTGACTCCGTTTTGAAGAACACTTACTTTAAGTGTTGCATAGGCAATAATAGCACTGCGTTCGGATAACAACATTTAAGCCTTAAAATAAAATGCAACGTAACGTTCAAGCTGAATAGTCTTCACTCCTGTGCTTGAATTTTGCTCACCTGGACTTTTCACTTTTGCTGCTTTTTAATGGGACGGGGGAGGGGTCTCGCGGGCAGCCGGCAGTCCGGCGCCAGAAGTCCGCACGCTGCAAACCCTCCGCATCTCCTCTCTGCAGGGGGACCAGGGCCGCGTCTCCCTTCGGCCGCACATCCCCTCTTCCTCCTCCTCTGCTCAAGGTAGGACTACGGAGCTTTTATTCTCTGCGCTGAGCTCTGTGACTCCCGCCTACAAATATCAAACATTTGCTCTGCTATCCACGTTTTTCCCAGTTAAACACTAAACGGTTTTGATTCTCTGATTGACAGCGTGGTATTAGACTGTATTACACTTTTTGTTTACGGGTATAGTATTATACAGATAATTAAATAATTGTACTCCCACTCCTAGTTCGATTAAACGCTTTTGAATTGCACTTGTATACTATTTTATGACGCTCTTGCAGTTAAAGCACAAAATAAATATCCAATTGATGTGCAAAATGTGTTTATATTTGGTTGCACTAATGAGGGCCCGGGAGTCGGACTACTGCTGATATAATTACTGCTACCGGCCAAGTTGGACTTAAGTGTGAATCAGTGGTTTAATTTCTCAGCTCTTATTCTATTCCACCGTATTTTCACTCCTCCGCTGATTCTGAGCATCCCGCTTAACTATGAGGAAATGCTGTTGTAAAGTTACAAGGTAATGGCAGAAGGATCATTCGGCAAAAATACTACGGCGCTTAGTTATGTAATGAAAGGTTTTTTTTTTTTTTGGCTAAAGCTCACGTGTGTGAAGCTACGTCTGTGAAACACGTACCAAGGGATGTGGTGGTGATACGTATTGTATCTGAATCCACATTTGTTATTATTTTAACGTTCAGTCATTATAAGTAAAATTAGCATGTTATTTGGCAATTTCTTTATTCTGCAGGTCTGTGGGGCTCTGATTTTATTCATGGGACACGTGTTCCAGCTTGCATGATGCAGATGCTTATACTTAAACACTGCATTAATTTAATTGCACTTTCTACATTCCAGCACACACGCAAACATAAATATGCACGGATGTTTTTGCGCAAATTGCTCCAAAGATGACATATCGTTGATTAACCTGAATAATTAACAAAAACTGTTTGTAACCGCAAAGGATAATTTATCCTTATTATTTTTAAAACGAGTGCATTCTGCAGCCATGATGATTAATTTGCCTTCTATTGGTTTAATTTCAACAGCAGTGACTTATTAAACTTGTCATATACCCAGAGTCACCTGGATT